CATTGTGAGTATGGCTGCAGACTGGAGAGAGCGGAGAAGACGGAGTTGTTGTGGGGTGAGAGAGGGGTCAGGAGTATAAGGGGGGGTTGAGAGTGAGTGCAGGCAGTGTATATGAGGTGGGTGGTGTCCCATATTGTGCTTGCAATGTGACATTGGTGGAAGAGGTGGAGGGTGTTGTGTTCTGTGTTTGGGCACCAGGGGCATTGTGATTTGTCTGGGGATATTTTGGCAATTGGTTGACCAATAGGCAGCCGTTGCCAGGTGGCAAGCCAGAGGAGGTCAGAAGCTGCTTGATAGCGGTCTGTATGGAAGATTTCTCTCCATGATACAGGACCAATTGATGGAAGTGTAAGTAAGATGGGGTTGTTGTGTGGTTGTGGATGGAGGATGTTGCGAAGGGTTTGAAGAGATGGAAGTGAGGAGATTGTGTTTGCTTAACTATTTTCAATCCTCCAACAGGCTGTAAGACAGCTGCAGAGGGGTTCAATGGCCAGTCGGGTACTTCGATGTTGTGTGATACATTGGGTGATGCTTGTGTGGGATGTGCAGGTTTGAAGGAGATGGTTGAATGCATGTACCCAGAAGGGAGTGGAGGGTGAAAAGGCCTGTGAGATAGTCTTAGCTAGTCATATTTCCATTTCAATTTTAACAATGGGGAGGTTGATTCCCCCATTGAGTAGAGAGAGGGATGAGGTGTCCATGTTTGGATGTGTGTGTCTTCCTTTCCAGACAAATTGGTTAACCAGTGTTTGAAGTTGGGTGATGATGTTTTGCGGAGGGGGAGAGACAGATGCATGGTAGCCAAAGAGTGACATGACAAAGGTTTTGAGTATGAGGATTCTTCCACGGATAGTGAGATTGCATTCAGTGAGAGAGGCTGTTCTGGACTTGGCTTTTTGAAGGAGTGAGTTCCAGAGTATGGATGAGTTTTCAGGGGTGATTGGAAGGAGGACTCCTAGTGTAGAGAGGGGGAGTGATGCAGGGGTAGGATATGGAGGGGAGTGGTATAAAGATGTGGGAGAGAGGGGGAAGAATGATATCTTGCTCCAGTTTATTTTTTCATTGGCTGCGATATAGTGTCTATCTAACCATAATTGGAGGGTGGACCAATCATATAATCCAGTTCCTCCAATGTAAGTATCATCAGCGTAGGCTCTGAGGACAAAGGCTCTGTGGTTGATTGTTATGCCATTCATATTGGCTCTGAAAGCATTAAAGAGGGGCTCAATTGACAAGTTGAAAAAAAGTGGGGCTCATGGTGGTAACTACCCCAGTAACTCCAAGATTTTGTTATGATCACAAGATCAAAACACCATTTTCAGCCAGTTAAAAGCTTTGCAATTTTTTGCAATTTTGTGTTGCATGCGCAAATTTTGCATCGCACACAAGTTTACTTATTCGGCAAAAAAATATTGGTATGTTTCCTGATAAAGGTTTCCTGTTCTAATAAGGAAATTACTTAGGGGAACGATAAAATTATAATAAAAATTATACATATTGTATAAATAAAATACTCTATTTCCCTTCGAAGGCCTACACCTTAGCATTTTGCATGTCAACCCCCGTTCCCTTAGTGGATTGGGAACATATTTATTATTGAGCGCTAACAGGATCAAAATCTTATATTCCTATTGGCTACCACATCAATATAATTATCTCACGGAAGCAAAAGATATTTGAGCCGTAAAAAGAAATTTTACTGGGGTTCAAATTAGTAGACGACATAAAGCGTTTGAATGCAAGACCATACAGAAAATACTTTGCTATATAAATATTATATCTTTAATCATACATAATATTATCTGCCTGACTTGTATTAAAATGAGCAGTGGTAAAGGGATCTGTACACTAATTTCTATATTATATCGTAATTTGAACTTAAGTGGAAAGATTAAAGAAGTTTATGACTATAGATGATTGTTTCGAAAGACTTACTATTGATAACTTCAGTATATAACGTATAACAAGTATTTATTGTGCATTATATTGATGCAGTAGCCAATAGGAATATAAGATTTCAATCCTGTTAGCGCTCAATAATAAATATGTTCCCAATCCATGCAAAATGCTAAGGTGTAGGCCTTCGAAGGGAAATAGAGTATTTTATTTATACAATATGTATAATTTTTATTATAATTTTATCGTTCCCCTAAGTAATTTCCTTATTAGAACAGGAAACCTTTATCAGGAAACATACCAATATTTTTTTGCCGAATAAGTAAACTTGTGTGCGATGCAAAATTTGCGCATGCAACACAAAATTGCAAAAAATTGCAAAGCTTTTAACTGGCTGAAAATGGTGTTTTGATCTTGTGATCACAACAAAATCTTGGAGTTACTGGGGTAGTTGTAGCGGAGCCACCTTGTTGTGAATAAAAGTCCCTTGCAATAGTAGTTGTAGCAGAGCATAGTTATCTATTTAGTTAGCTATTAGCATACAAATAGTAAAAAAGATAATAAAATAGGTAGCAAAAATTTAGGTACACAGTAATTTAACCAAATATACGATATCTTATTTGTTTACTAAACTGTTTTCTATCATGGAGGAGCATAGCGGAGCATAGTTATCTGTTTAGCTTTCTATTTAGCTCATAATCAGAAAAAAGATAATAAAAATAAGTAGCAAATTTAACCAAAAATTTTATTTCAAAGAAATGAGCTGCGCTCTAGGGCTTAATTTCATTTCCGATGTATATTTTCTAAAGCTTTTTCATGAAGCCTTTGATAATAGGATGTAACATAATATCCTCTTTTATGAATTTTGCAACATCCACAAGCAGAAGCAGTTGGTTTTCCACAATCAGTACAAAGTACACGTTTTTTGATTTAGAATGAAGATGGCATCCCTCAGGACGTGTACTTGGACCACTACAAATTTTACCAGAATTATGTATATATTGGCAGGTATATTCACCGATCATATTTGATTAGGATAAATAATCAATTAAAGTAAAGATTTTATAAAGTAATATATAATACTTTTTATACACAATGGTTAAAAATACTACTTGTGATAGATGTGGTCTAAATCTTTCCACTTATCAGAAATATCAACAACATTTAAATCGAAAAAATCCTTGCCGACCTAAGAATCTTCCTCAAACTCCAGCCAATCAAAATCCTACTGAAAGACAGATTCTGATACAAAACCAAGTCCCAGTAGAAAACCCAACTCCAGCCCCTGAAGGTGATCTCATATCATTTGACGAAAACCCACCGACGCACCAACCAACCCAGCCAAGAGAGGCAAGCATGCCGGCAGTCGACCTTTTAATTGATTTAACGATAGATGAATTAATTAAAAGGCTATCAAAACCAAGTGATGATGTGGAACATCAAAGCTCTGCTTCTTCTGAATATGATACAGCAGATGAGGATCTTGATGTCTACTTTGAAAAAATCAAAGACCCATATATTAATAGAAAGTCAGAAGCAGAAAAATTTAATGAAGGCGAGGTATGTGATTATTATGCATTTGTTCCAAGAGAATATTATGCTGAAAGTGAGCCTTTAGCCTTCTTTGAATCAGTCAAAGAAAAAATTGCTGATGTATATAAAAGAGAATTGGCTTTAAAGGGTGGATTAAAGGTAAGAATTATGTTAATTGCAAAAATGAAGAAAATAGAGCCAGAAACCCAAGAACCTAAATATAAAACTTTTCCGTTCAAGTATGAAACTATAGAAATTATAAGAGAAGATCGAATTGGAACTGTTATAGAAAAAGGATATAACGAAATTATAGATCAGATTGAGGATGAAGCAATACAAGAATCAGGTTGGTCATTTGTTCGAGCAGAAGAGGTATTTCTTGAGATAAGTGCATTCAGACCATTGCGAGGTAGTAGTTGGTTACCTTTACCAGAAGATTTAGATAAGCCACAGCTCGGTTTAATTAATCCACAAAATTTCAAAGACAATGAATGTTTTAGAGACTGTATTAATATATACCATGCAAGAGAAGATACACTAAAAGCAGGACAAAAACCTACACATCTTGAACGTATAAGCAAGATTAGACAATATGGTAATATAGCAAATTTTGAAGTTATAAAATTTCCGGCAACACTCCATGATATAGATAAATTCGAAGAAAACAATCCTAATTATGCTATAAATATATTTAGGCCAGTGTATAAAGAAGTGTTCAGAAAAATAAAAGTAGATATAGATCCATTACATATCTCTGAAAGAAATTATCAAGTAGAGCATATGATAGATTTATTATATTTAACAGAAGGTGAAGAGAATTTAAATGACCGAAAAAATACAAACGATATACCAGAAGGATTAAAAACGCATTACATATTTATAACAGATTTTACTCGATTAATGCATAAGTGGAATAACCATCATGGAAAAAAAAATACTTTTGCCGAAAATGCTTACGATTTCCTTATAGTCGACTAGATTTATTAGAAAAGCATATTCCAACATGTCCAGGACCAAGTAAAGCACCACAACGATTAATCCTTCCTGAAGAGGGTAAGAATTATGTAAAACCAAAGTATATTAAAAACATGCTAATGAAACCTTATATAATCAATATGGATTTAGAAGCAGAAGAAATCGAAGCAGAGGAAAAAGATAAAGAAGGAAATACTATAAAAATAGCAGAACAAAAAGCAGTTTCATATGGATATACAATACACTGTTCAGATGGGACTATACAAAAACCAGTAATTAATCGAGAATCAGAAAATATAATAAAAGACTTAATAGAAAACCTTCAAGAAGATTTGGATGTTAGTATAGATAAGCTTTGTGATCCAGTTCCATGTGAAAAAATGACACCTGAATTATGGCAAAAATATCAAATGGCAAAAAAATGTTGGGGATGTGAAGAAAATTTACATGAAGCTGGATATAATAAAATTCATGTATTCGATCCTGAAACTAAAAAATACTTGGGTGCTTCACATAGAAAATGTCATGGGAAAAAACCAATGATTCAAGGTAAGTTAGATGATGAGCAAAAAGAAAAACATAAATCTTGTAAGGTATGTATGTACTGCAAAACACAATTACCAGATGAGGGAAAAAATAGAGTAATAGATCATGATCATATTACAGGAAAGTTTCACGGAGCAATGCATAGTAGTTGTAATCTCAAATTACGAATTGATCCAGAAACAATAAAAATTCCGGTATTATTATGTAATGGAAGTGGCTACGATTTTCATCATCTAATGCAAGAAATAGCAAAAGTGACGGATGAAAAAATAGTGCCTATAGCAAATAATTCTGAGCAGTATATTACTTTCTCAGTTGGTCAGCTTCAATTTATTGATAGTACAAAATTTTTGTTACCTGGTTTAGCTAAGATGGCAGAAAACTTATGTGATGAAAAGAAGGGCCAAACTAAAACACCAGAACAATTGGCAAAATGTTTTCCAATTATGTCAAAATTCATCTCACCTCATTTATTATCATTGCTTACACGTAAAGGAATATTTCCATATCAATGGTTAAATAACAAAACGAAGTTTAATGAGACACAACTACCTTCACGTGAGGATTTTAATAGCGTTTTAGATGGGTTTAATTACTGTAATCATAATTGTAGAATAGAAAAATGTGAGCATGGAGAGAAGATAGGGAAATGCAAACATAAATGTCAGAAATGTAAGCATAAAAAAGAACCAGGTAATTGCAATGAATGTGAAGAAAATAAAGAATGTGAACACGAAAAAATTTATACCATATCTCAAAAGGATTATGATTTTGCACATATGGTCTGGCAAGAAACAGAATGCAAGACTTTCGGAGATTATCACGATATCTATCTTAAAACTGATGTATTGATTTTAGCAGATGCATTCGAAGCATTCCGAAAAGCTTCATATTCAGCATTCAAGCTTGATCCAGCAAATTATTTGATGGCACCAGGTTTAGCATGGGATGCATGTATGAAGGTAACTAAAGTTAAGCTAGAATTATTTAATGAGCATCAAGGGGATATGCATGATTTCTTTACAGCTATGAAGAGAGGAGGAATGTCTTTAGCTAGAAGGCATATAGCTCAAGCAAATATTCCAGGATTAGAAGGGTATGATGGAAAAAAAGCGAAAAAAATGGTTACTTTATTTGGATGCTAATAACCTCTATGGTTGGGCAATGTCACAATATCTACCAACTGGAGGATTTAAATGGTTAACATCAAAGCCAGTCGAGACATCTTCCCCATTAGTGCAGAACATTTTATCGTTAAAAGAAAAATCAAATCGAGGATGTTGTTTAGAGGTTAAGCTATCGATTCCAAAAGAATTACAACCAAAGTTTCGAGACTACCCAATGTGTCCAGAACGAATGAAAGTACCATATGATTGGTACGGATCAAAGCAAAAAGAATGGATAGGAAAACAACGTCCCGATACAGAAAAACTTATACTAACTTTACATGATAAAGACCATTACGTTATTCATTATAGAAATCTACAGCAGTGTGTAAGAGAAGGGTATGTTTTAGAAAAAGTATATAGAGTTTTAGGTTTCGAACAATCTCCTTGGATGGAACCCTATATATCAATGAATACGCAATGACGAGCAAAAGCAAAAAATGCATTCGAAAAAGACTTCTGGAAATTAATGAATAATTCAGTGTTTGGAAAGACTATG